TCCTCGGGGACTAAAATGTTCAAATACAATTAAAGGCGTATAAATAAAAGTAGAATTATATAAATGTAAAGTAATGTAAACAAAATAACCTAGAATACAGATAATCTAAAAATAATCTAACTTATTGTTTGCCTCAGAAATATTAGTTTCACAATAAAATGTGATATGAAAATTAACGATCGGAAATGATTAATACTATAAAAATAAGCCTATTTTTTTAAATAAATCATTTTGATAATCTCAAAATACGCATTCTAATGCTATATTTATCTATTTATCATAAATAGACAGGATTTTTCATCAAACTTCTAGTACCGCATACACAAGTTCAGTGATTGGGATTTGTCTCTAAGGATTATTTAATTTCTGATATCATTAATTGTCAGGAAAAAACACATAATAGGTTTCCACAGATTCGATAAAGGGAAATGAGTTAGGTGTCACGTCCTATGAAGTCTTTATTCAGATTTTTCCAATAGGCAAGGATTAAGTGTAAAATTATCCTAACAAATCAGATACAATAATGTCATCTTGGTCTTGACACATTTATTATTACATATACTATAGTACAAGATAAAGAAAAAAGGTCTTCATGTATAAATAAAGGATAAACTATCACGACTAACAAGACAAATAATTATTAAAATGTTATTTTTTGTGAAAAATTCTAGGCAACTTATGACGGTGGCATTAGACACAAAATAATAATAAAGGGATAAATGAATAGGAATGACTTAGAATTAATATAGTACTAACTTTTTCCAATGGCCGATCTTCTTAATCCGATTTGTAAACGTGATTCTGAGGGACTCGGCCTTATTTTTATATCATCTGATGATCGAGTCAAAAGTGGTGAGTTAGTACTATCGGAATGAGCTGATAAGTCGGAATCATCAAGGAGAGTGATCTAAAATTTCGTGGTAAATAAGTAATTATATACAGCTTAATACGATACCTGGGTCACCCTAACAAAGATTCCGTACAGGTCTTCACATGTAAAATAACGCTTTCCTTGGACAGTTCCATTATTTTTTCCCTTAGGCTCATCTAAAACGATGCCTATCCATTTGCCTTAAAACTGATGATAGTAAAATAATAATACCAGTAGAGAAATGAGTCTGTCCGATAAACGCGACCACTCCGACTACACCCTTACCAGTTATTTCTACCCTAGAGCCGATCTTAAGCCTTGATTCGGACATGAGAGCGTATAAGAAAAAGTAAACCAATCAAAATCAGCTGCGAAATCGGTTAAAACAAAGGCGAAATCGCCTATATTCCATGCTAAAACCTGAATTAAGTAATATTAATAAATACTTTTCAATTAAGTATGTTTTATCGGATTTATTTTTATATTTAATTAACACGAGGTCAAGGGAAATCATATAAATTATAGAATTT